ATGACTCAATTCCTACACATACCTAATAAATACATGATATTAACGGTAATTACATACTACCTCCTTGATTAATCCAATATAATAATATTGGGTGCCAAACCTAAAATCTAGACTTTGAAAATTAATAGTCAAAATCAAACAGAGATTGGTCAATAATGAGGACAAATGCCATTCTGGATTTTCAATATATTTGGATCAAATTGACCACTTGAAAGCTGGAATTCTTTTTTTTTTTAATAAACCTTATCAAGTCACACTGTCAAAACTTTATTTAATTAATTTTTGGCAAAACTATATATAGAAGAGAATTGCGTCGAGATTCAAATTATATAAATTTTAGCCATTATTTTAGAATATATTTTCTTTGTTATATTGACATGTGATAAATTGTAATTTCTTGTACTTTTTGAATAATTTCCTATATTTTATTTTAAATGTATTGAGTTAATCTTCTTATTCAATATAGCTTTACCGATTAGTCAGATTAATTCTCAAAAATATGAAAAATATCGTATAAATTGAAATGAATGAAATAGTATATTAATTGATGTATTTTGAATTGTGCTATTTTATCGGAGGACTAAATGACCGATTGCTCCACGTTAGCTATATATATTATTATTTTGATTTCCACAATATACTTAACATCAACTTTGAAATTTAATTAATTAAATAAATCGAATTTACTCCTCAATAAGTTTTATTGTGGAGTAAAACCCTTCATATCAAAAATAATTTTATTTATAAAACTCGACTCCAAAACTTCTAATTAAAAATAAATAGATATTTAATTACACCCCAAACCCCCAACATAGTTTTTGGTAATCCATCTTAATTAGCCAACTATTTAGTTACAACGAAAAGTGGTCCTTTGGACTATATATACATGTTAGTTGAATAACTATTTTTTATTATATTTATAAAATCATACCAAGAAAAGTTTGTTCTTTGAAATTAGCCACCTCTAGGAGAATTTAGACTTTTATAATACTATGGTTTTGTGTCATAAAAGTCAATATTCTATAGTGATAAAATTTTATCCATTTTCCCCCCAATGATATTATATAATTTAATTAATTACCTCAACTTCGAATTATCAAAATTGAATTATTTTTCATCCCTCTCTTATGAACTCTCTCTAATATTATTCTTCGACAGATCTCAAGAAGGATAATGAAAAAGAACATTGTTAAATCGTTGATTCCATTAATCTTATAGATCAGATATGTATAAATATTAAATTTCAAATTTAGCAACTCAAATGATCAGTAAGATTAGTGACTTTTTAAATTCATTAAGTTTAAATTTAAAATATGTTTTATGATAAAATTAAAAGCTAACTATAGTAGTTAACAAGGGGTTTGAAATCAAAGCAAGGGGTTTGCCTTCTGGGTCGAGATCATCGCATCGGGCTTGCCTAGTGCAGGTTACCTCTCCTATATGGTTTGCGAGCTATTGCATAGGAGCGGGGGTTTTACCCTGTGCGCACCCAAAGGATAACAATTGCGGATTTCCCTTGTCATAAAAATAAAATAAAAAATATTGATGTTATTACATCACTCAACAACAACAATTAATTATATAATAATCTTATTCTCAGCACCTCGCTCCTCGTATGTCTACTATATATTATAAATATAATGAAGATTTTTTTGCATCAAAAATGAAAAAAAAAAAAGAAGCTAAATATGTTGATGGGCTACTAAATCCTTTTGAACTATGCTAGATATTTCAAATACATTTATTTCAAGTTGAAGTAAAATTAATGAACTAAAATACAAATAAATGATTCTTTAATTATTTTTTGCAAATATTTCTAATATTATTTAAAATAATAAAATTTTGGACGTGCTAGACAAGGATTATAATTAATTGAAGGGCCAACATAAATGAAGTGGTTGATAGGCTGATGTAATTGTGGGGCAAAAGAAAGTGATTTATATGATATTTTGTGCAATTTAAAATACATAAAAATTAGATTTATTTGACTTTTGTACTTTGAATTTTATGATTATTTTTTTATTTATTGTTTTTTCACTTAAAGAAAATTCAGAGCAAATTAAAGTTTGAAACATATGATTTTCTCCGCGTCTAACACACGTCTAGTGATATACCCATCGATAATGACACCATTCTACAAGTGTTTAATCTAATATCTCGTTTCACCTTTAATCAGAAATTTTAAGTTCGAATTTTTAAGAATATTTTTTTTTTATTGATAGCGCCGCCAACAAAAATAAGTCCTATAATGAGTTAATCTAAATTTAGTTGGTTTCGGCGTGGATATCGTACATTCAGTGAAAAATCAAAAGGAAAAAGAACATCGTTTTGCTATAAGAAATCACAAATTTATTAGATAAGTTATATATAAAATAGACCAACATAATACTTGAGACGAACCCTACATTGAAATGAGTGGTGAAGACTTTTATAAGTCATAACATAAATTCACTTGATACACACGCTTTTGACGCTCCTTTGAGCAAAAGTGAACAATACGTGTCATGAGCATAAACGTAACAAATATGTTATCAGAGTTTGATGCTCCCTTAGTACGGTGGTAGTCCCTAGAGGGGTTATATATGACGCCCATGAAAGCTTTTGAAAAAGAGTACACATGATACCATCAATGAATTTCGCATTGGAACTCTAAGGGGTTATATGTGACGCACATAGGAGCTTTTGAAGGAGGGTGACACATAATATCTCAGGTAAATCTCACATCGACATGAGAGAGGAAAGTCACAGGCTTTATAAAATATAACACAAGTTCACTTGATGCGTAATCCATAAAACAAATACATAGGACTTGTTGGGTCAAAACGAATAATACACATTATTGACCTGGATTGTGACATGGATATATAGTGGAAGCTCTCCAAGTAAAACATTTTTGCCATGAGCATTTGAAATCCTAATTTTCTAATTGCAAACTATATAGTAAATTTTTTTGCTATATGTTTTGAGTTATGAACACTTTTGGTCACATCCTAGTTCTAATTAAGTTGTAGTAATGTGGGTGGATATGTCCAATCAGTGGCGGACACAGAAATTTTACCAAGTGGTTTCAACATATATAAAAAAAAATGAAGCAATATTAAATATTGTGGGTGGGAATTGTATCCGCGATGCATCAGTCAAATTGTAACCACTAGGCTACATGTTACAATTGGTTTAAGTGGGGTCAAATTAATTATATACAATGTTTTGTTTCAAAAAACAGATTGAATATATATGTATATACAATGTATATGAACCCACTTGCAACAAGATAGGCCCGTCCCTGTGTCCAATTATAGAACAAAGACCAAATGCAGTATGGTATATGGCCCAAGCCCAAAAATGCCTTAAACTACGAGCAAAACCATGATGATTTTAGGTACCAAACAACACTATTGTGCTCTTGGATACGGAGTTGTCTTTGTTAGGAAATGTTTTACTTTTCAACGCGAATTCAAATTAAGTCAAGATTCAATATGAATACCGCACACTGTGAGAAACAAAAAAGAACTATTTAGCTACTCCAAATTTGTTTGGAACCCCAAATACATTTTAAAAGTAGTACTAAAATAAAGAAACTTTTAAATAACTACGGTGTTTGGATCAGTTTGCGCATGTTTGAATTAATTTCATTGGGTACACTATTGAAAAAGGGCGAAAATCGATCATCAACATCGACCGACATCAACATTCACTATTCTGCATTTTTTTTAGAAACTAACCGAATATGATTAATAATTTGTGCGAAAATATGAGGTTGAAGATTATAAATATAAATAAATAAAATTCTTGAACTAACAATCACACGTGGTCTAACTTATCACGATAAAGACGGAAATTCGATCTTCGAATGGGATACCAATCTTTCCTATACCAACCTTCGATTTTCGATTGTTTTTTATAGGTATTCCTAAAAATCGATATCGTAGTTAATTTCGATGGAGACTAAAAGTGTCAATTTTTGATAAATTAAAGAACCAAAATTAATAAATGCATACTGAAAGGGACTATTTAAATAAAAAAAGGCACAAATTTTCTGTTTGATTCCTTTATTCTCTCCACGTTGGATTTGCATCAGAGACAAATCTACTTCTCATTTAAAAATTCGTACCTTAAATTAGAGAAAATGACAAAATGGTCCTTTATAAATAAGATAAGTTCAAAATATCTTTTAATTATATTTTGAGCAATTTTAATCTTTTAAATTTATAAAAAGTTGTTGTAATATTTTTTATCTTCGTCAAAAATTTAGCAACAACTCATACTTGAAAGTACAATTTTTTCTGTTTTTACTATTTTTAATGTTCAGTTTTTAGAATTTGATGAGATTTTTTTAAGTGCGTTTGTTAAAAACTCTTTTTTCCCCATAGTTTTCATATAATCTAATAAACAGAATAACAACAGCTTATAGAATGCGATCCAACAAGTAGAGTCTGAAGAGAATGTGTCTATTCATATGCTACCTAATTCTATGATACCGTGAGACTTTGAGGCTCAACGGTTCAGCTAGGTCCATAGTTTCAGAATTTATACGCGAATCAAGATCGATAAAAGGAAGTTTTACAATCGCCAACTTAAACCCATTATCGAATCCTACTCAGCGGAATATGGAGGTACTTATGGCAGAACAGGCCAATTTAGTCTTTTCACAATAAAACGATAGACGAAACTGCCATGAAACGGTAGATTAATAGAGCACTTCAGAATAGTGGTGTATGCAAATATTACCCCTACATTGTGTAAGATAGAAATATTGTTTCTGATAGATCCTCTGCTCAAAAAGAAAATGATCTAACAGACAAAGTTTATAAAATTTTAGACAAAAATATATTAGTAATTTTAATATAATTAAAGGACCAAAATTGCTCAAAACATTTATAAGGGACTATTTTTAACCACCTAAAACATAAGAGACCATTTTTGTCTTTTTATTTTTGGTAATAAAAATATTCTATAGTTGATCAACAAGTAGTCTCCAATTTTTCCACCAGTTCCAGAAAAAAAAAATCTCAAAAATAATGTCCGAAGAAAAATCAAAATCAAAATCAAAACCAAATTCGATTTCATCATCAGGTAAAACATTTAATAATTCCAATTTTGATTTTTTTATTAGAGAACAACTTATTAGAGTTTGATTTCAGTTAATTTTAGGAGTCCCAGTTGAGTATTTTTTTTTTTAATGATTGTGATGTTTTGAGTCAGTTTGCGTATACCTCGATTATACTTTAATTATAATCCTTTTATTATTTCAGGCGATTAATTATTTTTTGTATCTTCAGTGATTTGGAGTTGTATTAATTAGGTTAAGTTCAGCTAAAAGTTTGAGTCTTTTTAATTTTTGTTTACTAATCTTTTGTGTTTAATCCCTGAGACTAAGTTAATTTGTATTTGAATCAGTTTAGGATTGAATATTTTGCAATAATGAACACATTTTTAGCTCTTGTTTAGCTGCAGATTTTGAAGCTGAAACTTGAAAATTCGAGTTTTTGAAGCTGTGATTTTTGGAACTTGAAGTTGTGTTTGGATAAGCATTATATTTGAAGTTTTGTGGTTGGAAGTAAAATTTCTCCCAAAAACTTGTCTGAGGTGGTTTTTGGATAAAATTTCAAAATGTGATCAAATTTCATGGCCAAACAGATATTTAAAGATAAATTTTCAAAATCTGATCTAAAATCTACTAAGCTAAACTCTAGCTTAGTGTATTTATCTTTAAGGGCATTTCGGTTTTCAACCATTTTTAACCGAAAAGAATGCCTCTTGTAGAAATGCAGGATAAGACGACATACAATAGACTCTTGTGGTTAGGGCCTTCCCCGGTAGCAGGAGTGTAGTTTAGTGCACTGGGCTGCCCTTGCCCTTTAATAGGAAAGAAACATGCTAGTACAAACCATATCAATTGCTTGTTATTAGTTTCAATATTTCTAGCCAGAAGAGGCGTATTCAGGACTTTAAGTAGGTGTTTGGACTTGATTTGAGTGATGTTGGGTTCATAATATCCAACACAGGGATTTATAAATCGAATCATTCTATCCATTGCCATAACTTTTTGGGTTGAATGCTTAGATTTTTTCACTATCCAAATGAATCCCATCTTGACCACTCGACTGATCGTCTTGAGATTTTGCGCTAAATGCTCAAATTCTTTCACAATTCGATTCATTTGGCAGTTTGGTATAGGTGGTTGGGGTCTAAGATTGACGTTGGATAATCAACTGATTATGATACTCTAAAATTGGCAGATAAAGATGTAAAGGCACCTAATGTGTTTGAGAGAGTTAAAGAAGAGTTTGAGGCAGTGTTGCATGGTGGAAGACACTCACATCACCATCACAAGGAAACTCACGGGTTGCGTAAGGATATTGATGAGAACACACCAATTACTGATGTGAAAGCACCCAATGTGTTTGAGAGAGCCAAGGAGGAAATCGAGGCTCTTGTTCAGGCAATTCATCCGAAAAAAGAAGATCATAGTCATTCTTCAACTTCAGAAGGCAACAACAGGTTTCAAGAACGGTTTTTTTTAACGATAGAGAACGAGTGTTTCTGAGGATGTTATTATGCAGTTAAATTTGCATTACTTTGTTGATGATCTGCAGGACTAATGATATAACAGCTGAGTTGAAACATAATCCAGATTCTCTTTCAGGTTTGAACTCTATGATTTATCTTTAACGAATTGTTCTAACTTCCAAGGTTCGTGATTATAATCATTTAACAAGTGATCGATAAACAGTGTCATGCGACTCTGCCACGTTAGACAGTTAAGTTGTGACTTGTGTGTGTTTTTGTACCTTGCTTTTACAGCCTTTCTTCAAAATGATTATACTTTTCCTATTACTCCATTTTAGTGAATTAGGTGAAAACTGAAAAGTTTGCAAATTTTCTTTCGTTTCTATTTATGTCGGAAAAATAACAAGTCAAGCACATCAGTAGGATTATTTGTACGTCTATGTACATCCCATGAAAATGGGGACATAACATAGCAGACTGGCCAGGAACACTAGCACCATCGACATCGAGAGATAAGTTCTGCAAAAGTCAAATTTCCATTTAGGCATCATCTGCCTTGGTGGAAAATGTTCTGTAGAACAGTTTGTCTAACTTCTGGTGTTCGTTGACCTTATATTATAGAAACGAGGGAGAACGATCTACTGTTGAGGAGAGAAATAGCTTAATTTCGAAACAACTTCATATTAAGAGTACAGTTATCCTTGAATTCCGAACTATAAGTGCTGACCCTCCAATGTAGAACTTCCCTTTGAATTTTTTTATATAACCGTGGTGTTCGGGCCAGCTTGCACTCACCTCGGCTAATTCCATGGTGAGGTTATGCAATCTTTAGTTAGTTTTGTTGGATAAAGTTTCGAAGTCCAAATAGAGTGACTCTACCCTCTTGTGTCCTTAGACATTATCTGCTCAACCCGTTCTCGGTGAGAGCCTTTAAACTGATAACATTTGATGTCTCAGAAGTATTCAATTAGTGGTATATGATTTGAATCTGAATCAAATGCTTATCTAAACTATGTACAATCTGATCGAAAGTTTGTGACTTTTCTGATCTAGACCATAAAATTCATCGAAGATTAAGTTTTGGCTTTAATCTGAAGACGTAAATAAGTCATCTTGTGGGAAAAAGTTATAATAGTGGTTATGAACACGGGGACACAATTATGTAGGTGAATGTCCATAGTCAAAGGAAACACTACACCGATTATTTATTCTCCGTGGTTGAGCGATGGGATTGGTGAAGAAGATCTCCGTTCCTTATAGCCTAGTCGATATCCATAGCTAACGTGTCTCTGTACCGACAGCTTTCCCTTTGTATACGGCTAAGTGATTGCATAACCTTATCATCATAACTAGCAACAGAGCAAAAGGTAACCTGATGCCTGGGGCTTGATACAAACAAGGAGTGTCGGGAATTTGTAGTTAAGGACGAGACAAAAACCAGACTTGCTTCCCCTTTCGACTAGAACATCTTCTAATGACAACCACTTTTTGGGCATAAAACAGCTCACATATAGCCATATGGAGCCTTTAGATTTTGCTTCCGAGAAACAATTTCAAGAATTGAAAGAACTTTACCTTGACGTAACTGGTAAAGTTGTTGTCACAAGTTCGAGGTGTGGAAATAGTCTCTTATAGAAATGCAAGGTAATGTTGCATACAATAGACCCTTATGGTCTGACTCTTCCCCGGACCCTGCACATAGCGGGAGCTTAGTGTACCAGGCTGCTCCTTTTAAGTATCTGATAATAACTAAAGTTATCGAACCAGGCCCAGAACTCTTGTTTTCTTTATTCTCTATGCATGCTCTACACAATGTTCATCTTTCACATCACACTTTCCGCTAGAAGTTCAAGTACATATTCATCGTCTGATCATACTATGCTTCTGTTTACGCAGAGAACAAAGCAAAGGTGCCTACTAATCAGAACGAGAAGGTTGAGGAATCAACAGGAACACAAAAATCTCCTCATCGTCATCACAAAGAAACTCACGGAAGGAGTGATGACATTGATGATAAAACACCAATAAGTGACGTTAAAGGTCCAAATATATTCGAACGAGCCAAGGAAGAAATCGAGGCACTATTTCACTCAATTCATCCAAAGAAATGATACTAGCAGTGTTGTTCAAAGAAGGAAAATGGATTGACTAACAAGAGAGATTGGTTTTCAGAGAGTTTTAATTGTTTTTTTTTATGACCGAGAAATCCGTCTGTGATCCGCCCTTTGGACCAATCACAACTTTCTAAACTCGGGGGATAATGGGTCCGCTCCTCTACCCTTCTCAGGCTTCGCTTTGCATGGTGTGAGGCTTGAACCATAGAGTTTTAATTGTTTTTATTACTCTTTCATTCACAGTGAGTTTACTTCTGTTGTATATAAATTTGTGTTGAGCTATCCCAATTTTTCCTGGTTTTAAAAATCTTTTTCCGAATTTTTCCCGCCTCTTTCCATATTTGCGGTCAGAAAAATTAGTCTATCGAAAATAACCTCCCTACCTGATCTATAGAGGTAGGGGTAAGGTCTGCATAAATCTTCGCAGAAAGTTGAGTATTCTTTTCATTATTTGAGTTGTGTTTTTTATGATGATGATGATGATGATGATATATATATAAACGATTAGTTTATCGAAAACAACGTCTCTGCCTATAAGGTAAGATCTGTATAAACCGTTGCAGTATGAAAGATAAGTGTTCTTTTCATTTTGGAGAGAGCCCAATAGGCTACATTTGCAAGAAACTAGGTACTTAATTAGTGAAAAGTGAGTTTATTATAGATTGACAAATTCCTAAGAAAAAAAAAGAATCTGATATGATAATTAATTAAAAACTAAAGTACTCCTTTTTATATTTATTTGGCTTGATTCGGAGTACGAGTCAAACTAATAATAATTGGTACTTGGTACAAATTGGGACTTAAATCTTCAACCTTTATGAAAATAAAATTTACATAGTTGACATTGTATGAAAAATACTATAAATCACTATAATTAATAATTTAAATATTTAGAAAGAAAAACTATCATGAAACTTGATTAATATTCAAGTACTTATTTTGTAAAATAATTCGATTCTAAAGTTTGAATATTCATTTCCTTTCAACTTGAATATTTATATTCATTTTGAACTCAGTTAATGAAGTTTTCATAAAAATAAAAGTAAGTAAATCTAAAAAAGATGCTTTAAACATATATCTTCCCATCTAGTTAAGTATGACAAAATACTTACTTTAAATTAATTAATTTAGCGGGAATTTGATCATAATTTTTTTTTACTTTGAAAAATATATTTAACCATAAATTTTCAGGATTTGAAAAATAACAAAAATGTATTTTTCACTTGTTTCACTTTAAATTACTCATAAAAATTCAAAAACAACCCTAATCTATATTGATGATCAAACACAATTCCATTTTTCATGTTGAAAATAAAAGCTAGTCCCTCTGTCCCAATTTATGTGGCACTTTCCGTTTTCTAAGAGTCAAACATTTTAAGTTAAATTGAAAATTTGTGCGTGGAATCTTTAAATTTTTCGAAATAAAATTTATATATTTGTAAACTACGTAAAAAATACTATAAGTCACAATAATTGACAACTCAAAAAAATCAAAAGATACATAAAAGTTTGCTGTCAAAGTTAGACTTGTTTGAATCTTGAAATTCAAAAAGTGCCACCTAAATTGAGACGGAGGAAATATTTTTTTTTCAAATTTTACGATGAAACATCAAACACCAACTTAATTTTTTACACGCATTTCAAAAAGGACAAATTACTTAATTACACTCCTTTACTTACCTTAATATCCATTTATCTTTACTTATTTCAAAAATCCCTTATTTACCTATGTATTCCGCATGTATCCCGTGCACAACGCTATGTATCTCGCTATGTGGAATGTATCAAATGCTATGTATCCCGTGTTCAACGCTATGTATCCCCGGCCCACTTACAACCTGCATAAGTTAACTTTGAATCCAAACACGGTCTTGCTGACAGTCAGATACAGCTGCTGCTAGGTTTTCTCTTTTTTTAGAGAGAGAAAGTGAAAAGGGGGGAATTTTGAGAGCTTAAATACACCCAATCTCTCTCTCTCTCTTCCCTTATTGTTCATCCTCTGTTTTAGGTTTTTTTTTTAGGGCATTTTCATCCTCCAATTTTCTCTTGGTATAATGAGCAACCCTAAAGATAACTTCAATGTTGCCGATCTCAGCACTGGTAAACTCCTATCCAGTAGATTTTGCTGCTTTTGATTTCTTCAGTTTTATGTGTTTTTGCAATTTTAATTTTCTGGGTTTCTCTAAAAGTTGAGATTTCTGATGGGTTTTTACTGTTATATATGTATATCTGCAAGTAAAAATTTCTGGGTTTGTGTTAAAAAAGTGAACTTTTGATGTGGGTAAGAGTTAAACCCTACCCACCAACCACTTTATTAGTTACTTTTATGTGTGTTTTATTATTGAAAAGTTGTGGGTTTCCTTAAAAGATGTATCTTTTGGTAGTTAGTAAACAAGCATCTTAGAGAATGTTTTGTAGCTAGTTAGGAAGTAAGTTATTCATGTCCAAAATTAATACTCCTATGAAGTTTTGGCTTGGAATTTAGAAATCTATGTAACTAATATATGTTTATGTTAGAAGGGAATTGGTGTATTATTGTATATGGGGTAGAAGATGGAGTTATTAGTATCTGCATAATTGTAACTAGCTACCAAATGACCTCTAATGCACAAGGTGTTGAACTGTATCTAAAAAGACTAATTCTTTTAGTTACTTCTGTGTTATCTTGTGAAGTTTGGTTCCTTAAAAGCAGAAACTTTTGATGGGGTTTTAGTCTTTTTAGTTGTTTGATCTTTTGTTGGTTTCTTTTTTTGGTGTTATTCGTTTGAGTTTTTATTAGATACTGTTATTATTACTCTCATACTAGCTTATTCTTTGATTTTAGTTTCACTGTTGTTTCTTAGTTTTCTTTGCTTCAATTATCATATTACTTGTTGTCTGCTTTGGTACTCTCCTCCATTGTATGTTTTAGTATTTGCTTTTACATACTTGATTGTCGATATGTGTTACTTGAGCCAAGGGTGTAGTGGAAACAATCTCTCTACCTTCACAAGGTAGGGGTAAGGCTGTGTACAAGCAACCCTTTCCTAACCTCACTTGTGGGGATTACACTTGTATGTTGATGTTGTATTCATTAGAGTTTTTTCTAATTGAATTTAATTTTTTAGCTCTGAATGCTGGGGATAGAGCAGACCTTGTTAATGTTCTCAAAGTGAGTTTGTTTCCTTCCTTCCTTCCTTATTACATGTTTGTGTGGTTGTTTTGTTTCATTTAAGTAGTGATTTTGTTGATGTTTTGCAGAACAAACTTCAAGACCTTACTGGGAAGCACACAAACTTGCTTGAAAATCTCTCGCCCAATGTCAGAAAGCGTGTTGAAGTTCTGAGAGAGATTCAGGCATGTTTAGCCTATACACTACTGTTACTTGAATATGTATCATTGGTGTCTTTTGGCTGATTTATTTGCTATATCTTATTTGCTATGTTGTTTTACTTCTGCCTTGTCTTTTTCAAACTGCCTTGCTATGTGTTATTTGAGCCGAGGGTCTTTCGAAAATAATCTCTCTATCTCCACGAGGTAGGTGTAAGGTCCACGTAAGCTCTACCTGTGAGAATACACTGCATATGTTATTGTTGTTGTCTTTTGGCTAATCATCTCTAATATTTGTATGCCATGTAATTGGATTATGGTTTAGTTTTTGTTTTGTACACTTACATTATGTTCTTGTAGGATACAAATTAAATTCAAAGATTCCCTAATTCTATAGAATCCTTTGTTTGTCTTAGAAGTTACAAATGGAGTATTTGAATGAAATGAACCCAAATTGAATAGATAAAGATGATTTATATTCTCACTCCAACTGGCTTTGGATATGAGGCATTTCTTACATTTGTTGTTTCTAAGTTCTCTTTTACTATTAGCTTTGGATTCATGATTCATCTACATCCAAACAACTTGTAAAAATGATTGCGACATTTGGGAAGTTGGTGAGAGTTTTTTAGTTGCTTGGTGGCATCTGATTAGAAATAATTCAAAGATACAGTGAACACAGAAATGATAGTATGAACTCGTGATGGCCCTTGTTCAAGAACCTTTTTTTACGGGAGAGATGTTAGTAAGAATTTTACCATATACTGTTTGACAATCAGGGGTTGTGTATGTAGCTCATGAAACAGGCTGACTATTTCTTTTATTTGAATTAGCATCAATAAAATAGTACCAAGTCAAACTACCTTTCTATTAAGCTGATAGAACATGAAAGATCTTGGATTTTCTCATTATTTCTGTTCTTCGATCTTTCATTTTTTTCTTGTTCTGTTATATTAACATATTCCTTTGTTCTTTGAGTTGTGGAGTGAAAAATAAATTTCGCTTCTTAACGTGACGGGGAGATATTATTTTGCCATCTTAAGGGGTCATTTGGTATGCGGGATTAGGTGGGATATCCCAGGATTAAGCTTGTGATAGATTTATCCTGTGTGAAATTTATACTTGTCAACCAAACATTGATAACACAGTATAAATTTTATCCCAAATTTAATCTTGGATATCCCACCATATATCAGCTAAGTTGGGATTAATAAATTTGTCCAAGGATTATCCTGTGATAATTTAGTCCACGAACCAAACAACCCGTAAGTATCTTCCAGATTCGTAGTATATATTGATGGGTAGTCACATCATTTGTGAGTTATTTAGGAAATTATCTCCTTGATTTGCAAAATACTATGTGCATTAGTTGCCACACTAGTTAAACTTCTTTTGAGTTAATTTTATATATCTGGGTAGTTGCCTATGTCTTTCTATCTCAGGTTTCTTGCTGTTTGATCTGATTGTTTATCTTTGCAACCTTGGATGTTGAATTCTATTTCTCTTTTATCTTAATTCAGTCTCAGTATGATGATTTGGAGGCAAATTTTTTTGAAGAGAGAGCTGCACTTGAAGCCAAATACCAAAAGTTGTATCAGCCTCTATATACTAAGGTCTGTGATGCCGCTTCATTTGCCTTTATACCTTGCATCCATTGATTATATTATCTCAGAAGTAATGTTAGCAAAATCTGAATATCTGCAGAGATTTGATATTGTGAACGGAGTTGTTGAAGTTGATGGCGCAGTGACAGAGGCAGCAGCAGTGGACCAGGAAGAGGATAAAGATGCAGAGGGTATGTTAAATACTCACCTTTGTCCTAATTTATATGGCCTTCTTTCCTGTTTAGTCTGTCCAAAGAAGAATGTCATCTTTCCATAATTAGAGAAAAATTAACTTTGAAATTCCCCTTTTATTCTTGATGAAATGATTTGTAGCCACACAAATATCTACAATTTGTTTCGAACCATAAGTTTCAAAAGGGAGTGTCAAGTTAGGGTTTATGATTTCTTATTTGTGATCAGTATTCTTGACATTGGCTGTTGATAGGGAAAGGAGTCCCAGATTTCTGGTTGACTGCAATGAAGAATAATGAAGTGCTAGCTGAGGAGGTTAGTTGTTAATCATCACATGCTCTATGTTAGTTTAATTTTCTTGTATCCTGTAAGTTCCTGCTAGTCCACTACCGTAATCTGATCCAATTCTGTATGTACAGATTACAGAGCGAGATGAAGGCGCACTCAAATTTCTCAAGGATATAAAGTGGACAAGGATTGATAATCCTAAGGGATTTAAGCTTGAATTTTTCTTTGATGCCAATCCGTACTTCAAGAATACTGTGCTGACTAAAACATATAACATGATTGATGAAGATGAACCAATTCTAGAGAAGGCCATAGGGTATGTGACATATTAATATGCTGCCAAGTTTTTTGATTTAATATATTAGTCTGTTTTCTCCTTGACTTCTCATTGCTGACAATCTGTAGGACCGAGATAGAATGGTATCCAGGAAAATGTTTGACACAAAAGATTCTAAAGAAGAAGCCAAAGAAGGGCTCAAAGAATGCCAAGCCTATTATGAAAACAGAACAATGCGAAAGTTTCTTCAACTTCTTTAGTCCACCTCAAGTTCCAGAGGACGATGAGGATATCGATGAAGATGGTGTAAGTATTTCATTTTCTTCTGTGTTAATTTTCTCAAGGTTATTGACGATGATGCTGTCACTGTTTTATTTTCTTTTGAGGAGGTTCAATTTGAATTGACATTTTCTCTCTACTTCTTGGACAGGCTGAAGAACTTCAAGGTTTGATGGAACAAGACTATGATATTGGGTAAGTTGACATGAAAATATCAATTTGTATGACCATGATAATACCATTTAATGTGAATATTGTACCATTCAGAATATAAATTACTCAGGATGATTATACTAAAAAAATTACTGAAGTAAGATGATGCTGATGATATCTGTACTTGCTCAATTTCAAACTTCCCATTTAGTTGCTGAGATTCATATCCTGATTGTCTATGCAGATCAACTATCCGAGATAAGATTATTCCTCATGCGGTTTCTTGGTTCACTGGGGAAGCTGCTGAAGATGATTTTGCTGACTTGGAAGATGAGGAAGATGAGGATGATGAGGATGATGAAGATGATGACGAAGTGGATGATGAAGAGGACGATGAGGATGATGAGGAAGATGATGAGGATGAAGATGATAGCAGTACCAAGAAAAAGGTACTTACTTCCTTGCTTAGTGTCTAAATACTTATTTGGAGATGGTCATGAATGCTATGTTTTCCCCCTTGTTTCAAATGTCACTACAGTCATTATCTGCTGCTCGCAAGGTATGAATCACGGTACTCCTGTTTCTTCAAGGGAAGTTCTTTCATATGCTTTCTCTTTCGTAATAATAGACATACTGATTTGCTTATATTCATGTCACAGAGGATTGGTAGGGCACATGCAGCAGTTGGTCCGGCTGGTGAGAGGCCACCGGAGTGCAAGCAACAGTAGTCATTCGTTGGAGCTGGCTTCATGATATTTATCTTGAAAATATGGATGACAGAGAAGAGATCCTACAATTTTGTTTGCCTGTTGTTCGTTGAGTATGCTAGAACAGTCTTTTTAGTCATTTTGCATTATATATGTTTTCTGGTTTACATTCTTTGCCTTTTTCAGTTTGCCCTTTTATATTCCTGGTGTAGTAGTAGTAGTAGATAGGATTTGGATGTGTGATGAGACTTGCTGTATTCTTATTGAATTGGTTGGAGATTCACAAATCTCAAGTATAGCTTTAGTTACAAGATGTTTATGCCTTTATTTTCTCCTTCCTTGGGTCCCAAAGTATACTTTTGTTCTAGACTACTATCCTATGCTTCTTGAGCCATATCGGAAACAACTTCTCTACCTTCGTAAGGTATGAGTAAGGTTGACTGTAAACACTATCCGTTTTAGATCTCGTTCCCACTTGTGAGATTACATTGGGTATGCGGAGTTTGTCCTATGCTTCTTAAGTCGTATTGAAAATGACTTCTTTACATAAGGTAGGTATGGAGTAAGGTTGACTTTACACACTATCCTTTTCAGATCTCGATCCCATTTGTGAGATTCAATGGGGTATGTGGAGTTTGTCCTATGCTTCTTGAGTCGTATTGAAAACAACTTCTTTACCTTCGTAAGTTATGAGTAAGGTTGACTCTACACACTATCCATCTCAGATTCTGATCCCACGAGATTACATTGGGTATGTTGAGTTTTACTTTTCTTGTGATTTTCTCCTTTGTGGCTGTTATTTCTTATTTCTCAAGGCTTTTTGTCCTTGGAATGATCCACCTAGTCACTATGATTAATAAAATTATATCGTGTACATAAGTTCAAATATTATATATTTTGTCTAATTTTTAATACTACACTTTCTTTTTTGGTTAGTTTCATAATGAATGACATATTCTTTTATTTGGCAATTTGGGGTCAAACAGAGTCCGCTAATCGTATATTGAAAAATTTAAAAGTTGAGATAATCTTGAATTTTTGTTTCGTGATGTGTACGAGACATTCTTATATTAGGTTTTGGTGAGCTAATCCTACAAGGTTTTTTTACTTGTGTACCTAACAATGGTTAATAAATTATAGATATTTTGACCTAAAATTATTAGTTAATTATAATTAATATGATTTGATGTTAACAATAAACTAAACATGGAAAATCTAAGTTAAGGTAGATTAGGTGGTTTAAGATTTTAAAAGAATAAGATCAAAAGTATAATAAATTAATTAGATCTTGACTTTAGACTATGCAATATATTGAATGAGTTATTTTGATCCACACGTTTGCAATTTTTTAGTCAAGATTGGCAACACATGAATATTTTTTCATTTCACCATATATGAACTTTCTATTGTACAATCACTTTTTCCTTTTCGGGATTTCAACTAAACACATTCTTTCAGTTCGAATTATATATTCATTATGAACTAACTGACAATAAATCCTAAACTCGTCTCTGCTAAGTGAACAATGATTGTGATTTTTTATTTTTTTTATGAAAATAACCAATAAATTATGTCATGTCCCCAACAACCTTTTTTGTTGCTTCCAGGAAAGTAGACCCATCCCATTCATCTCCCTATAGCAAAAGAGAAAGCCACAAAAATAAATAAATAAAATAAATAAAACCAAAAATAATGAAAAAATTGAGAAAAACTTGATATGAAGTGAAAAAAGAAAGTTCCTACTGGCTACTTTGTGAAGATTAAGCTTAAATTTTGTGCAGTGATAATATAAAAAATATTAATACAATTAAAGAATATAATTTATAAGGTAACTACATATAATTAATCTCTACTATAAGTAAAAATTGGTAATTAACTTAATAAAAATGGTACTCTAATTTGACTGAGGAGATTTAAGTTTTGTGCACCAACAATGCTAATACTATTTACATAAATCATATTTTTTCGAAATTTAGAAAGTTGTGAATACACTTAGTAATTAAAATGATTTTTTGTTTAGTAAATCTACTTAAATCAACTATAGTTAGAGAAGAAGAAAAAAAGAGTTGAGGTGTGGTAAGTTAATCAAAGGTCTCGATTTTGAGTCATGTGTATAAAGTCATCTTTAATTTGTCCAAGTGATATTTTTCGGCGCAAATTTGAATTTAATCACCAATACAGATATCAGACACCGAGTGGGAAAGAGAAATTACCTGGATTCTCAGTCTTAAGGTTATTTGAGTAAGTGGACATGATTGAACCATTGTTGTCTTTGCATCAATAGCCATTAAGTTTACATAACTAGCCATTTTCAAGAATTCCATTAAACAAATAACCAAATCCAATGTGTTGCATTTTCCCTTGGCTATAACTTGCAAATCCACAATTCTTTCTTCTATATTTGTTATGTAAACATCTACTCTTCCACTTCCATTTTGTTGAAATTGAGAAACTTCTTTCTTACTCAAAAGTGTTGCTTCTAAAATTTCATTCCTTTTACGTAGTTTCTCCACTTGATCTTTCAATGAACTTAAGTACTCTGTTGTACTAGCAAGAACTGATGCTTTGTCCTTCTGAAATGTTCGAAGATATAATTAAGTAAATAAACATGCATTCTCGGTAATAACTTAAGCTTTAGACCAGAAGGTTACATACAATTCAATATAATATTAGAGCAGACAAAGGTCATAAGTTCAATTCTTAGAATTTTCACGTGCTTGTTTTTTTTCAAGAATCATGTTCGCATGTGAGTGGTGTGTTAAAAGATATGGTTAAGTAAATGGTTAAAGTAAATAAACACGTGTTCTTTCTAATTAATAACTAAACCTTTTTAGATGAAATGACCAATAACATATTTAATATGGTATTAGAACAGATAAAGACGATTAGTTCCATTAGTTCATTTTTCATACTTTTCATGTGCTAGGCTTTTTTAAGATTCAAGTTCGCACGTAATAAAATGTATTGAAAATACAATTATATAAAAAAAACATAAGCTTTAGATGACAATATTCATTTCTCGATGGATATTCATAACTGAGTCCACTAAAAAACAGACTATCATTGTGGTGGTTATTAGTGGACATGACTTCCAATGTGACACACTCCCTTCTAGTTATTCTTCTTTCAGGGAGATAGAGTCGTCCCGTCTACTGATCGAAACTAAAAAAAAACATACCTTAATTTCAGGAGGGAGCAAAGATCTTAGATGTTGAAAGTTCTCGTTAATCTTTTCGCGCCTTCTTCTCTCTGAGATCATGTGATGAACTTGTGTACTCATCGTGCGATTCACTTGAATACCTTCTTGCCTATTCATCGTATACAAGTTCTTGAAAAATGTAATGGACCTTTTCAACATGTTTTGTCTACATGAACTTGTTGCACCTATTGATGCATAATTGGTTGACCTAAACCTTGTAAATGCAGTTGTATTTTGTGTTACTAATCGATGATCTCGTGTCAAATTCTCTTGAATTTGTCCACAAGATGATGAAGAAGGCGAGGACGATGATATGACAGCAAGATATGCTTGTCTTATCACATCGTCCTCGCCTTCTATATTTGGGAATTGTGTTAATGTTTGGTTTTCTTGTGTAACATAGCATGTTTTTGCAACATCGTGAAAAAGTGATGAATATTCACTTGATGATGAAGAAGATGAGTGCAAATTTTGATCAATTGACATTGTTTGTTTTGTGAAATCTTCAGGAAAAAAGTTGTTCATATTTGTTTTTCAAGTTAATTGTTAAGTTACAAGTGGGATATTATATATTAGGAACTTTAGAAATACTAAATAATTGATTCTATGAGTTGACTAATAAAGTAGACTCGGTAGTTAGAAATTATAACTCACTATCGATTTCATTTTAGATAACAATGTTTGACTGGGAACGAGATTTTAGATAGAAAATAAGACGTTTTTTTGACGTATACAGAAACTTAGAAAGTATTAGATAGAAAAACGAGATTTTTTTTTATGTATACAGAAACTTAGAAAGTACACTTTAGACGGGAAGCCTTGGGATCACTGATAAAGTTATTGTCATATGACTAGGAGGTCGTAGATTCTTTAAAAAATTGTTTTTTTTTTTTGGGAACGTACTAAAAAAATGTCATTCAAATTTTACTGACAATTGTCTATGGTCAATAGGTCATACTTGAGGGCTAGTAGATATTCCAATTTCAAATTCCATAAAAATAGCTGTCTGAATCAATTTCAAAATCAAGAGCTTAAGTTTCATTTTCATACACAACATCCTGCCCCTCGTCTTTTTTACTTGTCAAATTTTGACTTGACACACCTGTTAAGAAAACAATGATTGATATAATGAGTTTATCATTTTATTCCTATTAATTGATTGAGTTTTAAACATATTTACTCACTGCATTTTTCAAAAACATTAACTCAATGTTAATAAAATTGAGGATATAATAAAATGACAAGTAAAAAGAGAAATCAAATTAAAAAATATTTGATAAGTAAATAGGGATGGTGGAAAAAAATGAAATATTTAGAAATACAAACATAAATCCCAGTTTCCTGTAATGGAAAACAAGAAGTTAGCCTGGACATCTATTAATTAAAAAAAATGTGATTTTTTAAATCATTATTTTAACTTCAAATTATTAACAATGTAGAAGATATTTTTCGCTATCAGATCATCAAAAAGATAACTATAAAGTAGGAATAGTAACTTGGAAAATGTTGTTAGGTGGTTTTCTTTTGTATTGGATGTAGAAAATCGATGACAGAAGTGATTGCAATTGAGTGATAAATTGATTCGATGAATTTATACATGTTTTGAATTTATATAAATTTCATTTCAAAAAAATTTAAGACTTCATGCACAAATTTTCGGTCTAACTTAAATTGTTTGACTCTCGAAAAATGAAAAATGTCACATAAATTTGAAACAGAGGGAGTAGTATAATATTAAGCTCAAAAAGTATTATGAAAAGGAAAGAAAAAAGATCCTACCAAAAGAAGAGAGTAATATAAGATAATTGAGAGGTGAAGGATCTTGAATATCATCGGATGAATGTCAGATTTCATTATCCTTAATTAAAAGTTTTGAAGTTGAATTTTAAGAAAAACAAACCTTTTGTAAGGAGCATTTTACTTTTTAATAAGCTTTATATGATACAAATATAAATTAATCGATCAGTAAATATCGAAAATAAAGGATTTTTTCCAAAGAAAAAGAGTAATACTCTTGATCCACTTTTTTGCCTTTTAAAGGGTAGTGGTCAAAGTCCACAAATGTAACAGTATGAAATTCTCAAGTCAAGTGAGAATATAAGAGTTTTTATTTAAATTTTATTTTATGTACTTTTATATTTTTTACTAATAATAGTCTTCTTATGACCTTGGAGTTTCTCATTTTTCTTCTTTTATTTTCCAAAATTGTGTGATCCTAAAGAAAAAGATAGTATGAATTTTGACCAATTAAATCCTATGACTTTCTTTCTTTTTCCAATGGGCCTTTATGAACATAGAAATTGTTGTTCATATTATAAGTACACTCTGATCCTCTCATTTTCATATGGATAACAATTCTTTTAGAATTTCGAAGTGATTTTCATTAAGAAAGTCGGATAAGAATCTCATGGTAGTGTGAAAGGAGCAGAATCAACCTTTTATGAGTTAAGAAACGATGGCTTTTTTATTATTGACGAATGATCTTTTTCATGAGTTATGACGTTTTACTCTTTTTCGAAGAAAGGATTTTACATTCACTATCTTCTATTTATCATAATACATAGTTAAGAATTGTATCACATATATACACATCACATATCTATCATTTACTACTATATATAAGAGGCTACACAAGCAACTCTTCGTCGACATGGTTGCTTGCCGACCAAGGGGCAATTTGGGTATATTCAAAAGAAAAATTACTTTCTTGTAGCAAATGCTATTATAGAAAATTGTCATATTTATATACAAAATTACAAATCAGTATCTTATGTGACACTTATGTGTATATTTTATGTATTTTGAGCATCTAATTGGGCCAAAAATTAGCAAGTGACAATCAGCCCATATCAGAGGGGCCTCGGCCCAGTAACATAATTATTTGGTAAAAGAATGGAATAAACATATTTTTTTAATAAAGATAATCTCACTCAGTAAATTAAATATTTATTAAATGTTATTAATCCATAAAATATTGTAATTTATAGTGTTTTTTTATAAAGAAAATATAATTGAAGATTGTAAAAATATTTGTTGATAATATGGAAGAACACACTAAAGAAATGGAATTCAATTTCTTCTCCCAAGTGATTTGAGTCATGTGGCTCACAAAAATATTTAAGACTTTTATATTATTTATATCTTCTTCTTTTTTGTGTGTATGCGTGCGTAAAAGATTAATATATTCTATCAATAAGGATTGTGATAGGATGAATAAAGTCCTTCAATATCATTAACTAAAAATCTTGAGTTCAAATTTAAGTACGAAAAAAATCCTGCTAAGAAGCTTTTATTTTCCTTAAATGGACCTTACATGACGTGAATCTGAATTAGCAAGAACTTCAATACATATATTGAACGATAAATAGTAATAAAAAACTAGAAAGCAACATAGTTTATTGTCCATATATAACAGAATAATATACATATCAACTAAAACAATAAAAGACTTTACTATTTTGAATTATTATATATATATATATATATATATATATATGCTATACCACTTATTGGTGAAAAAACTACTAATTAAAAATATTTTGTCCAGGTGATAGAATTTTTTTTTGGATCAAATTGAGTTTTTCTTTGTTGAAATATATGCCATTTTTTGCCAAAATGTTTGATCCAATCTTCCTTTGTATTATAATGTGGAAGATATTGCTTTATATTGAGGCCAACTTTGTCACAATAATTCAAGATTTCTTTATTTTGATCATCTAAAATCTTGCATTCATTAATTCCACTAGATGAATGTAAAAATCCCACAATATAAAATATTTCCTCATGTGGTATTATTGCTGACATTCTATCATCCCACCTGCATTTTAAGTTATATACATTGTCAGTATAAAATTTAAATTAGATTTATTGAATTCTGTCGAACTCAGAAGCTAAATTCTAACTCCACTCTTTGAAAATACATTAACATGGTACAATAGGTAAATATGACATTATTATATAAGAGCTATAACTTATATGCATCAACAACGTAAATAAATTTTTATATTATCATCATGTCATTCAAAAGATAACTATTGATAATCCTTCATAAAAAATGAAATATGTAATCTTAAAGATAATAATATAAAAAATATGATTTGGTAGTATAGTTTTTTTATATAATACTATTATGTGTATATAAATTAAACTAAATATGTATATTACTTATTATCTCTATACAGTATTGGAAGGGGAGCTTTAGAGTAACATATGGTAAGTGACTTATAGATCATGAGTTTGAGCCGTGAAAGTTAACTATCATTAGTGCTTGTATTATAATAAGTTGTCTGCCTTATGCTTCAAGACCAATAAGCTACGATCGACTACGAAACGAATTGGATAGGATTCAACTCTTGAAAGTTAAGTATTAGAATAGACTGTCCACCTCACATCACTCCTTAAAGTGTGACTCTTCTCTATGTTCTATGTAAACACAAAATGATTTATATATCAGACTATCTTATCTTTATATATATATATTAAAAGAGGGGGGTTGGTGGGGGGGTGGGTGGGTGTACCTTTTCCTGCTTGTTGGGTAGACAAGGATGGGTCCTGTTGGTTTGTTTTGTCTGAGAATGATGTCTTCAAAAACTGCAGCATTAAATTGCATGATGTTGGACTTAGGTACAAACAAATTGAGCCATGGATGTGGAACATCCCACATTCCTTTTAATTCTAACTCTATTTGCCCTTTTCTTACTCTATTCAAAAATTCAACAAAAGTGACATCTTTCTTGAACATAAATCCACCCAAATAGTTCAATCCTTGTACTAACTTCTTCAATTCCTATAATATACAAAGTTTAAATATTAGGACAAAACGTATCGTCAAAAAATTATAATGTATATATAAGGTCAACTGATCTTTATGTTATTTTACGTATATACATATATGGTATATGATGAATTTTCTTAGTAAAATAACATGCTATATTGATAGTGTCAAAATCAACGTAACATTACTACACTATACTCCCTTTGTCCTAAGTGATATGATGTGCTTTGAAGAAATAAATAAAAAAATTTGAACTTGTAATCTGAAATAAGATTATAGTAAAATTATTTTGATATATAGAAAAACATAGTTTTTCTAGCAGATTAAAAGAAAAGTGTATCACGTAAATCAAGGACAGAAATATGCATTGATACATACCTCATCAATAGTATTAGCAGTGTGATCATCATAATACTTCACCATTTCCAAGCAATACATAATTTTATTTTGGGATAATAATGAAACAATTTTGGCTTGATTGGAAGGTGAAAAAAATGAAGATCTCCAATTATTTAGAGAGCTTTGTTCCATCATTAGAGAGCCTTCAACATAATCCAATCCATTATGATGAATTGAAATAAGATATTCTTGGTCTTTTGTGAATTTTGAGAAATCATCATACAACATTCTCACCCATTTCACCTATAATAAAAATAAAAACAAAATCATTATACATTTAGATACACACTATTAAATTAAAAATAAAAATTAA